ATCGCCACCGCCGCCGTCGCCGCCGCCCCCGTCACCGCCACCGCCCTCGCCGCCCCCGCCGCCGTCGCCCCCTCCGCCTTCCCCGCCTCCTCCATCGCCTCCGCCGCCGAGCCCTCCGCCACCAAGCCGCGCCCCCGCCCTCACCCCCTCCTTCCTCGCCGCCTCCGCCATCGCCGCCGCCTCCCTCTCCGCCGCCGCCCTCACCGCCCCCTCCGTCGCCGCCGCCGCCATCACCGCCGCCGCCATCGCCACCACCTCCCTCGCCACCACCGCCCTCCCCGCCCCCGCCAAGCCCGCCTCCGCCGTCGCCGCCGCCACCGTCGCCTCCGCCACCATCCCCGCGGCCGCCCAGCCCTCCGCCCCCAAGCCCGCCCCGCCATGGCCGCCGCCTCCCTCGCCACCGCCGCCCTCGCCGCCACCCCCGTCACCACCGCCTCCGAGCCCGCCCCGCCCCCTCGCCTCCGCCGCCCTCGCCACCACCCCCGTCTCCGCCACCGCCGAGCCCTCCCCCGCCCTCTCCCCCTCCGCCTTCACCGCCGCCGCCCTCGCCGCCGCCACAGAGCCCGCCGCCACCGTCACCCCCGCCCCCGTCGCCGCCACCTCCCTCACCGCCACCGCCCAGCCCGCCGCCGCCATCTCCCCCACCGCCCTCACCGCCACGCTGCCAGCGCAGCCGCCGGGCGACGCGACAGCGGCTAGCGGCCGGGAGAGCCTCTCCAGTGCGGGCTGGGGGCGGCGGCGGCACTCTGCGGGTGGCGGGCGAGCTGCTGGCTGGCCGGCGGCGCGTCTCGACTCGAATTATGGGCCGCCTCTCGGCGTGCGGCCAGGGGCCCGTGCGTGCGGCGCGCTGGCGCGCTGGCGGCGGTGAAGCCTCTCAGAGTGGGTGCTGGCTGGCCGAGGGCGTCGGGCGGGTGTGGGGCGGCACTCGGGCCGCCGGACGGGCCGTGGTGGCCCGTGTGGCGTTCGTGAGGGAATGTTTGGGCGCCCCGGCAGCCTCCCGGCCGGCGTGACCAGGGCCGGTGTTTGGCAGCGGTTTGGGCTGTGTGTGGGCTGGTCGCGGTACGGGATATAGTGCTTGTTTATGGTCCCACTCACCACTCCCGGCCGATGGGGCCTCGCGGGGCGTCCTCGTTTGCAAATAAAGGCCTCTGCCATCGCTCAGAGTCCCAAACCATGTGATCATCCGCGCTGCCGCCGCCCCGACCGTAGAGCGTAGTCTGCCAGATGCGACGTCGTCGGGAGGGCGTCGTCGCGGGCGCCAACGTCGTCATCCGAGCCCCCACGCCTGTCCAAGGGCACATCTTGGTGACCTGGGGCGGGGCCGAGTCGTGAGTTCTCCGCCGGGGCGAGCTTCTGGGTCCATGGGACCGCTGCCGCACCCATCCGAG